CCCGTGTTCCCGTTCCCAGGGACATCAGGCGGATCGGGGTGCGGCTGCCGGGCCACCAGAAGCGCATCGCCTACAGCCTGCTGGGGCTGCAGGAGCTGGCGGGGGCTGGGGGGGCCCCGGGCTGACCCCAAACCCCCCAACACCCCCTGAACCCCCCTCCTCCTCCCCGAGGGGTTTATTTATTATTTCTGTAATTATTAAGGGTTTTTTTTATACTGTTATTGATACTGTCCCCACGCCTGGGGATGAAACGGGTGCTGCCCCTTCCCTCCCCTCTACAAAAATTGAATTTCAAGCTTGTTTGGAATGGGGAAGGGATTTTTCTTCTTATTTATCCCCTACATTTCAAGAGAAAAAGGGCTCAGTCCCAAAACTGATTTATTTTTGCTTTTTTCCTCCCTATTTATTCCTCTCCCACCGGGTTTTTGGGTGGTTTTTTTTTTCCCTTCAATGCTGATCTGCCAGTGTTGCCTTGTATTTTTTAACCTAATTTATTCTATTTTTGTATATTTATTGCGAGGAATTAAATGTCGCGTCAGGTTTGGGACAGGAAAAAAGGGGGAAATAGCTGGATGCTTTTCCTCCCTTTTTTTTCCATGGATCTATGGGGGATTTGTGGAGTTTTGAATAAAAAAATGTGCTTTTTGGTTTTCTAGAATATTGTGTTTTCCCACTGGTTCACAGAGATTGATGGAATCTGGGGGCAAAGATGGGGACTTCCCCTGGATTTTAGGGGTTTTAAGGGCATTTAAAGGATTACAAGAGGGTTTAAAAGGGTTTTTTAAAGGTGTTTTAAGTATTTTTAAAGGTTTTGGGGGGCATTAAGGGAATGTTAAGAAGGTTTAAAGTTTTGGGGGTTTTTAGGCATTTTAAAGTTTTTTAAGGAGTTACCTGTTTGTAAGGGGGGTTAGGGGCTTTAAAGGGATTTGAAGTTATTTTTTAAGGAGGCTTAATATTTTTTAAGGGTTTTATTGAGGGATTTTTAGGTGGGGTTAAGGGGATTTTAAAAGTGAGGGGGTTTAGGGGTTTTAATGGGGATTTAAACGAGTTAAAGAGGATTTTTAAGGGGGTTTAAATGAGTTTAAAAGTGTTTTTTAAGGATTTTACAGTTTTTGAGGGGGTTATCAAGGATTTTAAGGGGTTTCACACGGCTCTGGCAGCATTTCCCATCCGGGGCCCCTTTCCCTGGCAATTCCAGGAGGAATTTGGCTTTTTCATCCCAATTCCAGGAGGAATTTGGCTTTTTCCATCCCCCGCCGCAGCCCGAAGCCAAAGCCCGGCCGCGCCGGCTGCCCGGAGCCTGCAAATGACTGGGTAGGAAAACGCCGGAAAAAAAGGGGTTTTGCTTTTTTATTTCTGCCCCAAACCATAAGAAGGGCCGGGTGGGAGGTGAGGGCGGGCCGGCAAGCCGCGGGTTTGGGGGATTTTCACCCCGTTTTGGGGTTGTTTTGCCCTGCGGGTGCCGGCCTCGATCGCGGCTCAAAGCCCAGCGGGACCCGGCGGGGGACAGCCCGGGCTGGGGAAACTGAGGCACGGCGACAGTGGGGGTTTTTGGGGTGACGGGCAGGGCTGGGGGTGCTGCCCGCTGCTCACCCATCCCCACCGCGCTCGGGGGGCTGCGGACCCTCCCCTGCTGCCCCCGCTGCTCCCATGGGTGCTGCAGCCCAGCCCCGCTCCCAGCCCAGCTCCTGCCCCTTTTTTGGGGTGTCTCCCTGGCGCTGACCCCACTTCACCCGTCCTGCGCCGGGCCCGGGCATGCCCGCCCTGCCCAACCTGCCCCGCCGCACCTAATTAACCCCCCAGGCTTAATTAAGGCTTGGTTAGCGCCCGGTGCGCCGCCCAAACCTGCTGCGCCCCAGTCTGGGGGAGCAAAGGGCCGGGGGGACTCGGCCCCCCACTCCCCCCGGATTTCAGGGTCACTAAACACCCACCCCCGATTAATTGCAGTAATTAACATGAGGATAATTATGTGCTGATAATTTTAGCAGGAGGGGCACAGGGGGGTGTCGCAGAGACTGGGGCACTTCACTGCATGTCCTGGGCAGTTTTGGGGTGATTTGGGCGGTTTTAAGCGTTGCTGTTGGGTTTGGGAGGGGGTGAGCGCCCCCCAAAAGAAACCGGGGGGGCTGGAGAAAGAGGAGAGGGGGAGGAAGCACCGATGGCTCGATGTGTTTAATGCACAACACGCTCGGTGTGTTTAATGCACAACACGCTCGGTGTGTTTAATGCACAACACCCTCTGCAGGAGAACCGGCGCCCCCAGCCCAGCCCCCCAACACCAGCTGGGGGGTCAGGACTCCCCCTCTTTTCCGGGGGGATTCAGTGGGGAGGGTCCCCTGTGGTCCCAAAACGTCGTCACTTGGGGTTGGCGAGGTCCTCGATGGCTCTGCGCAGCTGGAAGGGGACAGAGGGGGTGGGACAGGGGCTCTCCCCCACTTTC